AAAGTTGCAACTGTGTTATTTAATGAGCTAACATGAACTAAGACTTGTATTTTTTAAACAAAGATGAATAACTTCTGTAGAAAATGTAGCTATTGCTCATTGTGAATGTTAATGCATTAACTAAGGTTAACTAATGAGGTCTTATTGTAAAGTGATACCTATTGGTCTTTATAGTTCTTTTGCACTTTAATGTGTAAAACTTTTAACTTTATACATTTTTCTGTATTGCTTTATTGCATTTAAATGTTGTTATTTTTGTTATACGAAAAGTTATTAAATCTGTTATACTGTATTATGACAGCACTTTTTGTTTAAACTAAATGTCAATATCGTGATAATACCGTATACCGTGATAAACGCATTAGCAATCAATCGCAACATGAAAATTTGATACCGGCATATCCCTACTCTGGTGTTTTCATCTACTGTATACAGTTTGTCAAAACAGAAGGCCAAACCCCAAGAGCTGGAGCAATAAAAGAACAAACACGTGGACATGACCATTACAACCACTACGCAACAGTATGTCCATCTTCAGCCCCTGAACGCCTCCTGCTACTGCATGTGGTCTGTAACCTAAAACTACTGTGCTATAAACATGACTCAAATCTAAAGTCATCACAGGAACTAATATGTGTTTCTTGACCACTCTGTTGCGTTTGCGCTCTGTGGCGCGAATTTGAACTCCGTGCGCACGGCACGTGTCATCAAAACACTCCCAACACTAATTTTTGTAATTAGTATTTACTACTAATACTAATTACTGTATATTTCACATGAAGTCTTTTGACAAGCAAGATCACAAAGCTCCCTAAACACACCCGGGACTGCATATAGGTGGAAAACCTAAGTAAAAAGGCGAGATGAAAAGGTAGTTCGGAGGGTTAAATATCAAGACAAGTCTTCGCTAGCTCGCTTAAGCCTCTGCTAGCCACATTCCTCAGGAACAGTTATGCATTTCTATATTTTTTTATCACTCCTGCCCATATATTTGGTAAGTTAAGCACGTAGGGCTTCTCTAATAAACGGGCTCTGCCAAACACATGAACAGAAACTCCCCAGCAGAGTCGTTCGTGCGGTGTTTTGAGAGCTGCGTATGTGAGGAGAGTCGTTAGCCTCATTCATTCCTCTCACCTGTTCCTCCAGCCTCTGGATCTCCGCTTCATTTTCGCGCTCGTCTTCAGACGTATCCTCTTCATCTTCCTCCTCGGAATGCTCAACTCCCATCCCTTCTTCTTCCTCCTCCTCCGACTCCATCTCTCGCTCCATGCCCTCAGCCTCCTCTTCGATATCTGGCAACAACGTCTGCTCTTCGTTACCCGTCGCCGCCATGTTGAGGACTATCTGCCTGGAAACAGGCAGGGCTCGCGCACACAACACAAGAACTCGCGCGAAAAACAGGGAGCTCGTGCAGCGAAAAGGCGTGGCTCAACTACATGCATTGGCCGCTGTTAGTTTGGCATTGGTGCCTGTATTGCTTTCCAACCAAATTCTTTGTGGTGGTTTGGAAAAGTCTCATTCTTCGTCCGTTTTTGTCTAAAGCAGCGGTAATAAAATACCGTGACATTCTCAAATATAACCAGTGTTGGGGAGTAACCAGTAACATGTAACGGAATTATGTAGCCTAATTTAATTGCAAAATAAATGTAACTGTAATCTGTTACAGTTACTGAGAAAATGTGTAATTAAATTACAGTTAACGTTACTTATGAAAATGTACAAAGGGGGTTATCTGAATATATTCACTCACCTACAGATTTGACTGATTTTCTTCCAAAACTGCATTGACTTCAATGTTTCAGGAGTTTAGGACACAGAATAGGACACATGCTTAACTGTTTTATTTCCTTTTTGGGTTTATGTATATGCTTTATTTTTAAAATTAACTGTTTTTTTCCCAAGGCATTGTTAGATGCCTGTGTTTCCTGTCATAGCTCTGCAAAGATTTATTTTCGAAAACAGTACCATAAACTAAACTATCTTATGATTTTTAAATTCGCATTTAACCTCAGAACAATCTCAAAGTAAAAAGAAATACTAAAGTCTGATTTTGTGGTGGCCTGCTTTCATATTAAATGAAATAGAAATTTAAATTTAGAAAAGTTATCAAACAATAATCAAATGTAATCAGTTACATTAACTACTTTATAATAAAGTAATTGTAATAGTTACACTACTTATTACATTTTAAATAGAGTAACTTTCTGTAACATTTCCAAAGTAATAGGTTACTTTACCAAACCTTTCCCAACACTGCATATAATCTGCATGCAAAATGTGAAATATTTAATATTATTATTGTAATATAAGCAAAAGTTATATTTATACATTTTATATATTTTTTATAAGTTCACGGTGAAATCGCTTCCCCTGCTGCTTGAGTTCCACAAGTTAACGGCATGCAAACAGCAGTTATATAAAATAGGCTACAGCATGTAGAAATACACAGCTACATACAATACAAATATGAAAAGTATATTATTTATAATAAATGGTGACTAAAATGTGAGCAATGCAGTGAACGCGCTCCTCTGCTGGTTGAGATAGATATAGGCTACTATCGTTTGAGGGCTTAATGTTTGCTTGTGTAAAACAGCGGTGATAATTATAAGGCAGAAAGTATCTATACAATATAATCAGAAGGTAAAATGTATAATATTTATAGTTTAAAAAATCTCCCTCTGCCGGTTGACCTCTGTTTATGCAGTAGCGCCAGTCAGTCATCATGGCGTTAGCAGCGGCAGCCAAGCGCTGTGCATCTTCTGCACTTTTCAGTAGATCTTTGTCATAATTTACCAGAGCTCAGAACAGCATGCTCTTATCATAAAAAGGTACGCGTCACTTTTTATTCTTACTGCCGACGGTGGCACGAGAATTGATCTATGATTAAGTTGTAGTTCCTAATGTTTGAGAACAACTTTCAACGTGGTTGCTGCTAGCTAAGCTAACGTTAGTTTACTGCGTATGTAAACAAACCAGCAGAACACTGTACATGGACGACAATATTTTCGGCAGTCTGAGTAGAAAACACGCCATCAGAAGGACTATGTATTTTTGACGGAGTTAAAATGACATTCATCCATATTTACAGTTAGTTTCATAATAATCCACTTGTGTAACTATCCCACAAACTCACCAGTGATGTCTTACAGTAACGTTACGTTATCTTAACTCTGCCACAGGTGAATAAACCTATATTTTAGTAAGTACACATACACATTTAAATAAGATGATTTACTAATAAAGATTAATAATCTCTGTTATGAAGGTCACTGTTTTCTATCAAGGGCACGTTTTCTTTTGGTGTAAACTGTTATCACAAGTCCTCTGATGAATGTCTTTGATTGTTAAATATGATCAGGATGTGGTCATGTTTTACATGTCTTACATATCATACTTTTTTTCTGAAGGTGTGGACCACTATGAGAACCCCAGAAATGTTGGTTCTCTGGACAAGAATGCCAAGAATGTAGGCACTGGCTTGGTAGGCGCACCTGCATGCGGTGATGTTATGAAACTACAGGTAAGACATTTTTGACATTTTAATTTCAGTGTATGAGTGTGTATGTGTATATATATATATATATATATATATATATATATATATATACACACACACACACTATATACTATATAATTAATTCGCATATTAATACATTTCTGTATGGTGACACTTTAAAATAAGGTTTCATTTGTTAACATTAGTCAACTACATTAGTTGCCAAACAAACAATAAATAATACTTCTATAGAATTTATTAATCTTAACATTTACTAGTACATTTAAGATCAAAAGTTGTATCTGTTAACATTAATGCACTGTGAACTAATATGATCACAAACATTTTTATTAACTAACATTAACAAAGGTTAAAAAATGCTGTAAAAACATATTGCTCAATGTTAGTTAATGCATGAACTAATGTTAACAAATGAAACTTTATTGTAAAGTGTTGGCATATATTAAGTAACAGCACTAACAATACCAAATAACACTAAAAGAACACACTTGAAGAGGATTTACTCACTTTTTACTCAAATGACGCGCAACGTCGCACTTCTTGAAGCCGTGGAGGTAGAAGAGCCGCTTGGCCAGACGTTTGGCAGAGTCCAGATCGGCGCGGTTACCGTTACTGAGAGTGTCATTACTGCCCAAACCCAAACGCTCGCTCAGCTCCTGATCCAAATCTGGGTCCGCAGCAAAGCGAGGAGATTTCTCTCTGAACAAACAAACAAATAAGATCATTCTGCTGCATGCGCTTAAGTGCATCATCATGACCTCTGACGCCGAGCTGGTGAACATGCATTTTGTATAAAAACAAAGTTTTCAACACAATAATCAAATCCTGAACTAAATTTTCTCACTGAAAATAAATGATTTTTTTGGCATGGTATTTCTTAAAGTAACTTGAAGTAGACAATGCAAATACATTGTGTACAAGCATGGTTATCATTTATTACCATAACATTCAGTACATCATCACAGAACCATTGCACCACTTTAATACTTTAAGTGATGAAAACAGAAATAGACTAGGAAGCACCCTTTCATGTACAGTAAGATTCCCATAAGAAGCACATTATAAGATACAGTATATAAGCTTAGTAAAATGTATTGCAAGTTCTGACACCTCATCCATATTATAATTTTCAACTTTTTCAATAACATAATCAAAGTCATTACAAATTGAAGTATTGGAATTACGTAGTGACCAAAAACATGTTAAACGAATGTTCTCTGAAGACTTTCAGCTAAATGAGTTTCTTACATTGTTTAAAGGATATCACATATTAAACGAGTGATTTTACACTAGTAACATTGACGTAACTAGTATCTGTGGGATTTTGGCATAAATCGTGGTCACCAAGCTAGATAACGAACACAAACAGATTTAGAGTCTGAAATCATTTCTATTTCGTAATTGTGTTAAATTGTTATTGTGCTCTATTGATCTGATTTCCCCTGGTTTCTATAAATGAATGCCAGCAGTCCTCACCCCTTCTTATCAGTGACTCACACTAAATCCACACCAAAAACAAACCATGAGCAGAAATGTGTGAAACTCAAACAAAGACGTCTGGAAGCACAGAAACACTTCTTAAAGAGACAAGAATGACTATTTATTCCCTATCTGGGTTATTATTGCTAACTGAAACTAAAACTATTTTCATTACTTTAAATAAAAAACAATATCTGAAATAAAATATAGGAAACAATGCAAACTTATATTATTTTAGCTTGTTTCTCATTTTCGTTTAGTTTAAGTTGAAGTTCTAAAAAAACTAAAACTAAAATGTAGTTAAAACTATATACACACGCATTTAAAAATAAAAATAGAAATAAAAATGACAAAAAACAATAAAAAAAAAAAGAAAAATCTAATAAAAAAAAAAACAAAAAAAACCCTGTAATAGTAATAATAGCAACTAAAATGACACTGTTCCATATTTCTGGATGGATCATCTAAATGTGAACAATTTAGAAGAAATAATTTTGTAAGAACCAAAGGGAAAAAAATGCATTAATAAAAATAACTTCACTGTAATAATTTGAACATTTTATGAAGATTCTCAAAAGTGAGTGTTGTTTGCCCGTTGTAGGTGTTCTGGGTCGTTTTTAGTTTTCTAATACCAATTTATAAACAATAAAAATAGTAATGCTAGCCTTTTCTGCTAAATACTGCTATATTACATTCATTAGGACAATGACAGATTAATACAGCAATACAGTGATGATCTGCATCCTGTCCAAACAGTTTCTACCTGTACGGTGTGTGACAGCGGGTCAGGACGCTCCTCTCCTTCAGCATAGAGCAATGCCAGCAAAACACGGAGTGGGCTTTTTTTCTCAGACCATCTCTGCCAAAACGCCTCTCTGATGCGATTCTCTGGACCTCAGCCATGTTTGTATTAATGCTCAGCTTTTCGCAGTCCACCTGAGTCGTTTGTCCAGAGACTACGCTCTCACTATCTCCTCAGGTGTTTGTGGACATATGAGACCAATGCTGCTGTCTGAATCTCTTTGTGACTGAATCAATCTGTTTTTAGTCGTTAAATATCTTGATTCCAAAGATCCTGAAAGTTCAATCCATCCTTGAACTGTTTAGCTCACAAACTTGCCAGATATTTCTTTCCCAAAGAGTTTCCCACTGCTTTCTCTCTCTTTGTGAACATTGCTGACGCTCTAATGACTTCAGTGCGGTGTGGCATGTAACATCTCTCAATCTCTCCCTCTACAGCGGCTCCTCAGTTCACACACTGTTTAAAATGTACAAACCTCTTGTTTTCTTTCCCATGATTCTCTTTAGAATAGTTGAATAATGAATCATTTGAACACACACACACACACACACACACACACACACACACACACACACACACACACACACAC